CATTACTTGTAGGGCGTACTTGACTGATTGTGTGGTACCTTTTCACAATACAGTCAAGTTTAACCACTTACAGTGCAAATTTCATGGAAGAGTATCATAAAAGAACTGCTGGGAGAGGTAGTGTGGAAGTATGGAAGGCACAGTTTCCAAACATCTTTTTAGCTTTTCTCAGGTTTCCAACCATCTTTTTAAGTTTTCTATTTGCTCTTACATTTGTTTCTTCTATTTTGAACTTGAAATATGAAATTGTCCAATTTTTGTAATATACTCAAGTATATCAAACAACCTTTATTCTTTCCTTACATTTTGAAAGGAAGAAACATAAAAACGTGTAACCCATAGCAGATACACAGGATGCACATAATTACAGGGTGCACATAACCATCCTGCAGCTCATCGTAGCGGTTGTCCGCAAGGTAGGTGACAGACTTTGGTTTGAACTGTATGTATGTTCACAACCTATTTAAAATATAGGAAGGAATCTTCCTAAGTTGTGCAACCATGTAAACATCAGCCTTATCTTTGCCTTTGGAAGTGAGTTCGATCCCTGATGATACAGGGGCCCAGGAGTCCAAGATAGCATAATTGTTAAGTCAAGTCAAAGTTTATTTATATAGCGCTTTTTACAACAGGCATTGTCACAAAGCAGCTTTACAGAAAAGCCCCCATGAGCAAGCCAATGAACAAGCCAACTGCAGTGGCAAGGAAAAACTCACTAAGAGCAAGAGGAAGAAACTGTGAGAGGAACCAAGACTCAAAAGGGGAACCCATCCTCCACCTCAGTCGACACCATATAGCAAAACAATAACACAAGTGCAATATGAACACAGAGTAAGGTTTTGCCATCAGTATAAAATATTAATATACAGAAAAGTGGACAAGCAGGTGAAGAAATTGCTATGATTAAATAGTTTGAGTCTCTGCATACTGCAGTATCATCTAGAGGGTCAGTGGCATGCAGGTGGGCAGGCTGTTATATGCAAGTTGGAACTAAGCTGTGCAAAAAAGTAGACCTCCAGGAGGAGGGTAGGTGACCACTGTTCTAGTGTGATGCTAGCCAATGCAGACACCTGTTAGCTGGCATAACTGAACTGGCAGTTACAGTTCTCCTAAAAGTGCACTGAGCTGTCCAATGTTAGCTTGAAAAAATGTGGTGGTTGGCCTCACGTGTCTTGGAGTAAGCACATGCTAGCCTTCACCCACATAGTTTTGTTTCAACATTTGTTGGGAGACCAGGCTAGCGGGTTAAACTTGTGTTTTGCTCTCTGCCAATGTCACAGTGGTGTCAGAAGTGAGATTGCCCCCTAGCAGACCGGAGGAGAATGGTGAACCCAAGGGACAGCATGAGGAAGCTTGGCAGCGAGGCTGGTGTGGTAAGGCATGATGGCAGCATGGTGGGTCAAGGCCGAGTGCCAGAGCTCAAGTGTGCACAAGCAGCAGCCTTGCTAGCATCAACAGCACGGTGTTGAGGAGTGAGGCTGCGAGGAGTTCCGCCATACTGGGGTGGAGGACGTGTACAGAACTTGACCCAGCACACTGTGGGGACTTCTACTATATGCTGGAGGACCTTCGGCAGCAAGAGCATGGTCTTGGGGGAAACAGGGAGTGCTTGCCGTTAAGGAGCCGGTGCCCTGCAGTGTTTGTACTGGCCAAGACTGTGCATGCGCGCCCATAGACGTGGCTAGAGCTGGTAGGTCACCAGGGACCGGCTGACTTTTAAAAGTGGGGCTATGTAGCGACCCACTACTGGCTAGCACTGGTGCCAAGAGACTCTGGAGGTGTGGCTATGCAGCTGGCCACACGCAAAGGCTCATGGTATGCGTAGTATCATTGTGTTGGTATTGGTATTATTGTGTTGTGTAGTGTTGATTGTTAGTTTAAGTTATATGTATGTCACTCTGAGTCAGTAAGTGGGGTTATTGTGTGGGTGTTATGTGTTGGGGAGATCACTGTCAGGGAGAAGTGTGTACCTGGAGGTGACCTCCCATGTGAGTTTGGTGTTCTATGTGTGCCTGTTTTGCGAATGTATTCAATAAAGAACACTTCTTGCAGCAAAGCATGGTCATCTTTGTGTTTTAATCTCTGCCAATGTTACAATATGAAAAAATGAAATGTTATCAAGTGTCTGAAGTCCTACACTTGCTAAAATAAGAAATACATCATATATCATCTTTTAGAACATGTAAAAGCAACCCACTCTCAGTCTGTGGGGCACAGCATTCACAGACATGCCTGAAGTCACTGTGGAAAGTCAACTGAGGAGATAAACTGATAACTGGTCTTTAGTGGTTTGTTGCATTCACGCAGTACTGTTGCTTTAAAAGACACACATAAGCGCACACACAGTGCAGGCCACATACCACCTTTATCACCTGAATTTAAATCATTATTAAGTCTATTAAGAAGCTTTTCTTCAACCTGGTATTAAATGTACTTTCATCTTTTGGGTTCACTGCTTGGCTGATGGTGTTTGCTGTACTGTGTTTATCTGCCAGACCTCTACTTTGGCTGTCTGCGACGTTATGTCGCTTCAATCATGATGCAAACTGTCAGGCACACAGTTGGGTGCATCTATTAACTGCACATCTTACTCGAGAGCACAGCGAGCAGAAGTCTAAAGGGAACAAATGACCAGGCCAGAGAGTGACAAAAATACACACAGACTAGACCATGATGCAAAGCTGAAAATCAGTTTTGTGGTCATCATCTCTGTTCAGCTAAAGGCATGCTAAAGTATATTCTGAATGTTGCTTAAGAGTCAAGACTCATGTTATTAAGAGGTTTTGATTAAATGGTTTTTTCAGCAAGTAAACTCTAAAGCACTCCTGTAACTTAACTGTATAACCTTCACTAATATTTTAATATCTCTGGCATATTCACCCTTTGGCCATTTTAAAGCATCTGCTAAGACCTAACTACCTTTAACAGCCACTACTGACATCAGCATCTCTTGTGAAAAGTTACCAGTATTTGCTTTTTCAGGTTTCAAAAGACTAGAAACATGATAAAAGACCTTGACATAAGAGACCTAACTGACATTCAAATTGACACACAATAGCACCAAACCAGCTGCTAATTAAATCTCATTGACCCTTGCGCACAGAACTGCAAAGCTAATGAGAACTATTTCATTTCATCTTCAACCGTGCATTGCTTATTCGTTTGAAGAGATGCTGAGTTTACAAAGCCATTAAATTAGACATGCCAAACCAGATAACAATGGATAGATCAGACAAGTGTGTTACGTTATGCAAAAAGTACAGATTGCAAGAGGTTTTTTTGACTGTGGTTTTCCAATACTGATACAGATATTCAAACCTTCAATATCGGTCAACATCTGTACCAAACAGACCACCTTTTTGTAATTACTACTATGCTTTAAAATGAGCTATTTATATTGAAGTAATTCACTTAAGATGAGCATCTTAAAGCTTAAACTACTTAAACACTCTACTACACCATAAGAAGAAATACACAACTAACAGCATCACATCAAACAATGTGAGTGTGTGCTAATACAGGCTAGATGTGTTATAGGACTGGATGGGATTTATTCATTTTAAATTATTATTCCTTTAAAAGAGCTCAGTAACACTGAGATGAAGAAATGGTTTGTCACATTGATTTATCAGTCTACTCATGCTTTAGCAGGAACAGTGTTTGCAAAAATATGTTAATTGAGTTCCTCTTTAGAATTTTTCTAACAAGCATGTTTGCTATGTGTTGTGCACTGATTTTAAAATTGTTCATAAGCAAGCACTGATGGTGTTTCATTTGAATATTGTATATATGTTTTTATTTATTGGGTAGGTATATTAAAAGTATTCTCCTGAAAATGTAAAAAGAGACTGTATTCAGTCCAAGTTACAAAATGTAGTGGATTATTGTGTCATTTGTTTTTTTTCCTCAATCATTCCTTTATCTTCAAGCCACTGCATTCAACATCATTTTATCCTTATTGTGACGATTTCTGTTATAGACAATGCGCTTTTGTGAGCATATTGTGGATATCGACAGTACTTAAAGAACACTGAACAACTGCATGTTTGACTAAAAAGAGGGCATAATTAGTCCTGTTTAATTAGATTTAGTGCAGTGTAGTATGTGAAATGTTGAATGAAAATCATTGTACTATTCTACATTTTTTTTAGTCTTTTCAACTTGCATAAGACACAAGATCTCAAAAACATGTCATACCTGAATACTGCATACATACATGATAACACACAGGTGGAACACACAGGTGGAACACACACACACACACACACACACACACACGAGCAGCAAGATGACCTTCAAGAGTTTTCCATGAACATTTTTTAAGAGCATGTTTAGGCCACACTGTTTTTGTTTTTTTTTGTTTGTTTTTTTTTCATAGAGACCAAGCAGGTTGGTTTGTCTATTCACTGGATTGCAAAGGCAGACTTCAGGTTCTAATAAGTGAATGTCTACATTTTGTTGGCCCCTGGCTGCACCTGAGGGAACGAGAAAGCACTTATGTAAATGTGTAACTGACTTGCTCAAGTAGGCTATTATGGGGGCAATGCCTCCTCACACTCACAAATACCAGCACTCTCTGATGATGATGATGATGATGATAATGATGACGGTAGCAGCCCCGTAAAGTGTGACACTATAATCCAGTTGTGTGACCACATGCAATATACAATCATATACAAGACTAAATCCAAAGCAGCATAAAGGTACCACAGAATATCTAGGTCCAGGTAAGAAAACCTTCACATGTCCCCAAATTCACTGTTTTTATTTATTAATTAATGTACTCTAATTTTTTTTTACCGTGACATGTGCAATGAGTGGGTATCATTTGCCTTTGTGTTAACAAACCTCTTCCTACAGGTGTAATGATAACCTGTGTGAGGTCTGAGAATAATTTCAAACTGTAATAGCCACGTATTCTTGAGCACTAACCTGTGGTTACTCCGGAAGCCGCCGTTTACTGTTGTAATCATTGATGAGTGCCAGTAAGTGAGACTTACCGATTTCCGCGGTCAGCAATGACAGCAAATTATGGATCCTCGTAGCTGGAAAATCCACGGAATTTGACAAGATACTCCTATTCAGCAGCCTGATGTGTATAGAAATCGGCAGAGCGCTGAGAATGGAGTACTTAATGCCCTACAAGTAAAAGGGACCCATTTCTCTCAACTAGCCGCTTCTCTTTTCGTTACACAGGCGACGCGGGTCCTTGTGCCCTTTCAGAATGATAAAATCCAGCCGTTTTCAAGCGACATATGCATTAAACCGCGGCGACACTCAGCGACCACAGCCGGGCACAGCGTGAAAATGATCAGCAGCGCGCAGCTTTAACGCCACGTTACACTGGACTCAGGACTGTCCTTCAAGATCCGCACCAGCTTCTCAATGCAACGCTTCCTCCACGGATGTCAACACAGAGCTGCCAAGCTCCGGCTTTCGTCAGAGCCGTCCTCAACGCAGACTCGCTGCTTGGTCACATGATCAGCTACAAATCTCACCGTGCTCATATAGGACGCTCCATGCGGCTAGAATAACGTGTACGCCTGCCACTTCAGCCCCTCTTGAAGACCTCCAAAGGATGGACTGATGTTACCGATGTTAATAACATGCTGTGGTATGAAACCAGATGATAATTACACAGTTTAAAGTTGGATTGATTCTGATAATCGCGCGTTTCCTGTTTTTTTTTAAAAGCCGTGGTGGAAGTGAATATCTTGCTGCTACAGTCTTTCTACAAAACACTTTTCAGGACAACACATGGTTTGCACAGTGTTAAGAACAGTAAACGACAGATTTGATTTCAGTCATGATTTCATACCCTGCTAAAACAGACCACCAGAACCACCATGACTGAAACCTTTTCTAATGTCTTGTTTCACAGAGAGAGCATTGTAATAGAGAACTGAATTGTTAAGATGCCATTTGTCCTTCACATATAAGGTAAATAGCAGGGGACCTAAAACTGAGCCCTGGGGTACTCCTAACTAAGTGAAACTGAACTCCAGTGCAGTGCTATGATCCTCAAGGATTGGTGTTGAACAGCCCTGTCTAAAAGCATTTAAAAGTCTGGCTTTGGAGCCAGGTTTTTGAAGCCTCACTTTAATTTTTAACATTGTTGATGACTAAACGTTATGGAACACTGAATTAGACAGTAAAGCATCTGGTACAACTGTCTGACAGAACTCAATTGGTGGCTGTAGCTGGAGTTCAGTTCCAATTAGTTAGGTACTCCTATATGAAGGACAAATGGCATCTTAACGATTCAGTTCTCTATTACAATGCTCTCTCTGTGAAACAAGCCATGTTGGACCTATAAAAAGCATTTATATCATCCAGCACATCACTGAGATGAGGCTAAAGGAATCGTGTACAACAACTTGAAAGTAGGACCAAATCTAATTTTTAAACACATTCTAAATTTATTTAAAATCATTTTTAAGTCCCATTCAACTTGGTAAAGGTACGTCTCTAGAGAGAAGTACTTCTAGATGTTCTTACCATCTACACTATGAAGGCTTACAAGGGGTTAGAGGAATAATTATGTTTTTACCAGCTGTTAACTGACCAAGAATAGCTCTATGATGGATGTCCAGTCTTATCCACAAAGGGCTTGTGTAGTTGCAGGTTTTTATTCCAATCAAGCTGAAGCACAACTGATTCCACATTTAATCAGTTGGTTTCAGTCTTCAAACAGTTGATCACGTGTTCTCCTGCTTTGTTGGAATGAAAACCTGCAGCAGCACCAGCCCTTTGTGGATAAGATTAGCCCCTGCTCTACATATACTACATAAAAGAACAAAGTAGTATTTCTACTACTCCGTCTGTTTGATGAGGATACCCACAGAGAATGGTATCTACAGCAGGGCTCCTGTCTAAAGCTTGAGTGTATGCATAATTTAGGGGAAGATTTATTTGATAAAGCCAGTGTTTTAATTTTCCTCATAGCTCATAATTCTTTGTTTTATGTATGGCACTAGCACATTTCAGAAGATTAGCATTACATATCCATTTGTAACTGTCAGGTCATAAACATTTTTGCATTTATGTAATAGTATGCAAAACATCCACCTAACGCCTGCTCTGTGGTCAGAAACAGGTAGTACACAAAAGTCGGCTTGTGTATGTATTACTACATTTAACATTCTTGTTTGTTGTATTATTATGTAAGCTGAAACAGCCACTGGTCAGAGCAGACTAGTGGTTTCTTGAGGCAACATTTCACACTCTGGTGCACACAACACTGATGTCTCTAGTCACCAGCTGCAGCTAAAGAGATATGGCAAAATGCACACTTGCAGTGCATGAGCAAATCTTAAAAATAAAACAGCCATCCTTATAGGCATTTTTGAAACCCCTGAAAGACAAACATGAAATTCAAAATGTGAATAACAACAAAGCAAACAAAATAAATATAAAACCAATAATCACTTCAGCTCAGGAACACACTGTCAACATAGGTAATGATTTTGATGTAATCAGCTTAGATGAAAAATTACAGTATAATTTTCAATGTTACAAAAGAAAGCAATTATTATTATTATTATTATTATTATTATTACACTTTTTAAAAAATTAGATTGTACAAGAGTACCCCAATGGCTATAATAATGACAGCTATGCTTGACTATTCATGATACCATTGATCTTCCTAGGACATCAAAGACCAGGCATTAAGTATGTGCCTCGTCTGTATTTTACTGAGAGTGGTCTACTACCCAAAACTATCCAGCCAAGAGCAGCTATGTGGTCAGAAACTGACCACTGATGAAGGGCTAGAGGATGACTAACACAGACTGTGCACCAACAGAACAGCTACAATCTCTAACAATACACCAGCAAGGTGGAACTACAATGTTGGTATTTCTAATAAAGTGGCCAATTAGTATACAGGTAGTGACTGGGGCCAAAACATCAAGCTTGTCTTAGACCACGGCATCTTCTCTAAGTCAACAGAACTAATGGTGTGGTGATCTTGATATATTAAAGATTCTTATTGCTGGAATTGGAACAAAACCAAAAACATAAAATGAACAGGTCAATTTACAATGTGTCAAAATTTCATGACAAATAGACCAAGAGAAGTGCTCCAAAAATGACTTAGAATAAAATTTTAAGTTCCACTCAGAATTAAGAATATTTTCCCATCTTCTGTAAAGCAACCATTTTGGAGATATGAGGTTTTGTTCAAACACACACACACCTTTTGTACGTCGCTTTTCCTTCTGGGGAGCTGGAGCCTATCCCTGCAGTCATTGTGCGGAAGGCAGAAAACACCCTGGACAGGTCGCCAGTCCAACTGCACATCTTTGGACTGTGGGAGGAAACCGGAGTACCCAGAAGAAACCCAAGCAGACACAGGGAGAACATGCAAACTCCACACAGAAAGGACCCTGGTCACCCAGCCGGGAAATCAAACCCAGGCCCCTTTTGCTGTGAGGCGACAGCACTACCCACTGTGACACCGTACCACCCTTTCTTCAAACAGGGATGTTATATTTTTTTAAATGAAGAGGTCCATTTCAAAATGCTGTATGTTTGTAACAATTTTGGATAAAAAGATGCTTGATATGATGAATGCTGAAGTATAACACATTTTGTCAAAAAAAAAGCATTTTTCTTACTCTAATCAAGGTGTTTTTAACAAAATGTGTTATATTTGATCATTCATTTTATCAAACATCTTTATATTCAAAAGGGTTACAAATATGCAGCATTTTGGAATGGAACTCTTCATTTAAAGAAATATTATGTCCTTGTGTGAACAAAACCTCATATCTCCAAAACAAACCCTGTTTGAACAAAACCTATCTACAAAAGGGTAATGAGAACAAGAAATGTGTTTTTGTACAGTATTATACAGTATTCTGTCAGAAAATCAGTTTTGTGTTAAAGACTTAATATGTGTGCTTTTTGGACTTCACAGGGACTTCAAAGTTTCATTCCAAAATGCATTAAGTACACCTTTTTGTGTCTACATTCTTTTTATCCGGTCCACTTACCACACATAGGTGCAGTTAGTAATACTACAATTTCAGACTGTTGCTGCACATTTTGTGTTAGCCATCCACCACCACAATGTCAGTGTCACTGCAGTGCTGAGAATGATCCACCACCCAAAAAATACCTGCTCTGTTGTGGTTCTGTAAGGGTCCTGGTTACTGAAGATCAGGGTAAAAGAAGGCTAACAAAGTATCTAGAAAAACAGACGGACAACAGTCTGTAATTGTAGAACTACAATGTGTTTCTATAATGTAAGTGGAGCGCCTAACACACAACACATACAACACACTGCGACTCAAAACGCAGTGAGACATCTATCATGGTAGGAACTGCTATAGGCATGATAGAGTATGATATTATTACAAGACTTGAGCAGCAATAGGATTCTATTGCGGTGTTCAAAGATTTTTGATATGGTAAGTGTTGAGATATATTGTGGTTTACTGTGATTTATTACTTTTGACTGTCCAGTGACAACTTGCCTTGGCCACTTACTAGCAAGCACAGCCACTTTAAACAGAAACCTGACCTGAGACTTTAATGTCTTTGAACATTATTATTATTAATAACATGAAGAACATTGTTAAGAAAGGTTACATATTAAGTAGGTAATGTATAAAAGGAATTCCACTGACTCCTGATTTTGACAGCTTTGAAAGGAAAGCAGCATGAAGTTCAGTGGAGTGTTCCTGGATTTTGTCGACAACACTGCACTGTGTGAAAAGGGTATATGGGAAAGGCTTAAGCTGTTTGGTGCTGTGAGTGCAGGTGATTGAAATAGCTAGTCTCATTCTGACAGTATCAACAGTGACTAAGGAAATCACATCTCCAACACTGCATGAGTCTTCCTGAATAGCAGGGGATCTAGAAGACCTCTTTGGAAAATTAATGAGGTGCATACCATGTGGCAGTAAGAGGGATGCAGGTTCTAGATGTCTTCCTAATATTTGCTATGAGAAACAGATCAGATATGCTGTCAATATTGTATTACTCCAAATAACTAATGAAGACTGGCAATGTGTGAAAGTTACAAGATCCAGCACACAAAAAGACCTGGCAGTTGTATAGGCATGTTTCTTATTAAAAGAAAGCACCAAAAAGAAACAGCGTATGTATATTTAAGTGTTTTAGTTATTTTTAAGGAAACATCTTCATACTTTCATTTTTTAAAACATTATCAAAAATATTTTCCTGCTGGAAAAAAAACATCTCAAGCTGGTTAAACTGCTAAATCATAGCACAGGGTAGGTTTTTGTTTGATTTAAACGGTTTACCTGGTCTGCAAGCAGGACCAGCTTTACTAAGCTGTTCTATGAGAATGGTCAGCTTGACTAATCAGGTACATCATCTTATCTAGGGTTGACCAAGCTGGTCTACCAGCTTAAACAGTGGACCAGCATAAGGTATGTTCCTGCAAAGAACATCAAGGTGGTTAACTACCTTGACCACTTTAGACCAGCAAGAATCTGTTATTAATGACCAGCTTGGACCACATGAAACCAGCAGCCAACCGAAGCTTGCCATGCTGGCTCTGAGTGTTCTACAGTATTTTTTCCGCAGTGGCTGTACAGACTGTACTATTGTACGAGAAGCATAGGTGGGCTCTATGTTTAT